ATGGTTACCTTTTCACGTGGGAATAGCTAATTTGGCTCTACACAAGGGGAGATGGGCAAGAGAATCGTAATTGCCGCTTTGTCGCGCGCGGCAATGGGCGCGACGTTTTCTTAGTTTGCACTACCTTTCGATTGGAGCATCGGATTTCATGTAGACAAGGACATGGTAGACACTTATGTCTATTTTTGGTCATACATTGTCTATTCTCGACCAATACCACCTAAAATCGTCGTCATTAGCGGGCGCGACGTCGCACGCGACGCTCAGTTCGCGGCGAATTACGATTCTCTTGCCACCTTCCCCTTTACAAGTGTATTCATGAACGAATCCGCTCGAATACAACCGCCATGCAAGCTCCTAGATCCAATCATAAACGCTGTTATGGCCACAACGGAGTGATAAGTGAAATGAATTTCACATGCTCAGGGAAGATGTGATTCATTTAGTAGGGTGCTCTGTTGGGAGTCGGATGGGAGTACCGGGTAGGTTCTCTCACTTCTCAGTCTTGAATGAGACCTTGGACATTTCTAGGCTCCTGCCCCTGAATTCGCATAATGGTAAGCGGTTAAGACAAAGTACTTCATCCCCTACTTTTTCGTCGGCATTACTTTAGGTACCCTTGTAGCCTACCCTTCATGGGTTGTTCCATTATCCGTCACTGTCCTTGACTTGCCGTTATATTCTCAGATCGAACCTTTTGCTTGACTGACTCTTCTCGTTTGTATGGCGTAACATCCCGGTCACAGTATCGCACCCTTTCCTAGCTAGTTGACGTTCTATCGCCCCTTTCTACTAGCCTCAGTTGACGTTAGAGGTAACACACCAGAGAACGTCTCAGCGATGCTACGTTGAGCACAATGGGTCTTGAGCCGCGAATTGCTGGCGGCGCAAACACCCATCTTGCGACCCACTTTCATCAAGCAGTGGCTCGCACTCTCACTAGCGATCCTTTCGCTTACTCGTTACCTTCCGTTCTCAAGCATTAGACTTGAACTGGCGACGGTAACGAGAGTAAAAGACGGGCAAGAAATCGTTAATTTGCCGCTCCGCCGCATGCGGTGATGGGCGCGGCGTTTTCTTAACTCATTTCAAGCTGTCGACTGGGGCACCCAACTTCATGTTAACTTCATTATCATAGGTATTCGTTACTATTTCCGGTTCTGAAATGCCTGTTGTTGCCATCTACGACCTGGAAGCACTGTAAACTATGAGCGCGACATCGCACGCGACGTCCCATTACGATTCTCTCGTCAAATACCTAACTAGCACTGCTTTTACAATCGTAACTTGGAACTACAACCTTTACTTCACAAACTAACTGGGCGACTGATCTCCTAAAATTGCCTGGAAGATGTAAGGGGTAGGCCTTTCGAGCGACCATAGTAAGGGCGTCTTTGAGCAGCCGCTAGTAGTTTCAAGTGCCAAAAAATGATTAGCGTCTTTGAGAAATGACAGTGATAATACTGCAGCTGTTGATTGAAAACACGTTCAATCATTTCAATAGTCTTGGGGTAACGGGAGACGGGCAAGAGAATCGTAATCTGCCTGCGCAGGCGCGCGGCCATAGGCGCGGCCTTTCTTAATTCGTGTTGACCTGTCGATTGGAGCACCGGACTTCATGTAGACCCCGTCATCATAGACATTCATGACTATTTTCGGTTCTGAATTGCCTATTGTCGCCATCTACGACCTGGAACCATCGTCATTTGCGGGCGCGACGTCGCACGCGACGCCCATCAGCGCGGCGAATTACGATTCTCTTATCACATGCTCTGAGATAGCACAGCGGTATTAGGGGCACATATAGCTATCAGCTGTGCAGAAGAGTTCATTGTACAAAACAGGAGAGGATCTAAGGTTGCGTTCATACTCTGCGACACGGGAACATATGCATCCTGCGCGAATTTGCATTTTGAGGGTCGATGGATATTTATTATCTCTTTGGCCAGAACGACGATTCGCTCAAAACTTCTTGGCCGTGAAACATCTATCTCCCCAAAACGCCGAGACGCAAAGTCGTATTCACGCGGTCTAAGCTTGTGTAAGGAAGCAATGCGCCGCCCACTGCTTAGCGCCACGCCTCATCACAACGAAACAAGTTCTGACCATACGCTTAACTCTGTCTAACAGATGTTGGCAGACCTCGCTTTTTAGCTCTTTCCCTTTACGCAATGGTGAAGCAAGGTGATAAGGGAAAATGTGATATGACAGCGATACCAGCAAGTGAAAAGTTGCGCATATGCACCGCCTTCTAACCGTTCGAGATACAAAGGAGTCTTTTTCAGCAATACCAAAGTGTTTTCTCTGCTCAAGTCCTTACTACTATGTCCCTGACATTATGACATTTGCACTCGAACCAAAATGCCCACGGTCTGAGCACGCGGAGTGGGCTCTTGAAAGAGCTCACCCCGTGTGCCGAAACCGCTCAAGGCTCCTCGGGTGCACGTTCAATGTGTCTTGGGAAGAAATACTTTAAAACCCCAAACCCACGCCTGGTGACCAGAAATGATGAGTATGCTGCATCATCTGTGATCCCGTTGATCATCGAGTTGCTCGAGCGGGTGCCAACAACGACCCCATACGTCCCTGCGGCGCGCTAGAGTTACCGAATGGTTCTCGGTGCTCGAGGAAAAGGCCTCAGGAGCACCGTACCATTCGTACCATTCTTTCATCACTCCATTCAGAGATCTCACGAACAAAATCGACCATCGATCAGACGATCGCTTAGCTGTTCGCCTAAAGGAAACCTGCATACTCTCCGCTGAGGACGTTCCTTGTCACGAGCGAGGTGTACGGATACGTAGCTGCAGTAACGTGCCACTTTTTTCGCTCAAAAGAACACGGGAACGAGGCTGGAGGGTCGTGTGACCCTTGCATCGTCTCCGTACTCCACCTTGAGATAGCGCGGGTGGAGTATGGCGATGGCACTCGGGTATCACGAGATTCCAGCTCCGTTCCCGTGCACATTCAAGCAAAGCAAATTCTCCGCTACTGCAGTTACGGAACGTACATCTCGCTCGTGACAAGGAACCTACTCAGAGGTGAGTATCCATTTTGGAACAGCTGATCGTGAGGTCAGAGACTCGGTTGGAGACAGAGAATCACTGCACCTTCACACGGTCCTTCGCCTCAAAATGGAGGGTGGATCAATGAGGAAAACTCTGGTTGACTGCTCCCCTCATTAAAGATGTACTGGTTACTGGAGTGGATTTTTGTGATGTGTCAAATCGTGATTTCGCCGTTGGTTAGCTTACCAGTGATAACGTTATGGTGATTTCACGGGTATTTTCCCATTTAGGGACCGCTATCATCGCATCATGTCTACCAACAGGAAAAGTTGTCGGCAAGAAGTGGAAAATAGTGAAACGACTCGGGATGGGAGGGTTCGGAGCAGTTTACAAAGTGAAGGATATCAATTCGAATCAATTTGTACGTAAAAGGTTTTCCATGTACTGAATTACTGGTACAGTAAGCACATAGGCACTCTTCACGGGACGGCTCTAAACTATCCGAAACTGACAAACAAATGAACTACTCACTCATTAGCAGTCTGCAATGAAACGGATAGGGTTCTGGAACTGGGAAACCCTCGTATCGTCAGCCAAACATGTTTCTACGATTGAAATTGAACCCTGGACGTAGCACGGCGAAAAACCAGAGTCTCTGCGCCACATAGCGCTCTCCATATGAATCGGAAAATGTTGTGGGAAAGGGAAGCCCTCGTCACGTGGTAAGCGGATCACATGTTGCCGGGATCTTAACTATCCTTTGGCTATTGCAAGCCCCCTCCCCACTTTTGCTGCCGCACACTTTCAAAGTGGTCAAAGTGGTGCCCTAAATGCTGAGGATCTTTCCAAATCTTCTTCTTCTTC